GATGGGAGTGTCAGAGACAGTGTGATTGGCACAGGACAGAGCGGAGTTTAGGGCTGTTGTACATAGGGTCGCTATGAGTCGCAATCGACTCCACAGCACATAACAACAACGTACTCTTGATGAGCAATTACTTCTAAGTGCTATTGAGTTAAATAATATCACAGAAAATAGAACTTGGTCATTGTTTTGTGCCCTCAAGTGAGAACTGAGTCATAGGTGATCATTCAGTGGGTTTTCAGAGGCAGTAAATCACACAGGAGATTGCTCATCTTTCTTTCTCCCAAGGAGTAAATAGTGGGTTCAAACCACATGCTTTGGTGTTGGCAGTACAGCTCCTTACTACAAGGCCACCAGAGCTCCCTAGTACTTGGTGGTTGTTGTGTGCTGTGTAGACACAACCCATAGGTGACCCTCCAGTGGGTTTCCAGAGGTATTAAATCATATGGGAGAAAATTACCCATCCATCCTTCTACCAAAGAGCAACTGGCTGATTCAAACCACGTGCCTTTGGGATTACAACACAGCTTCTTACCACTTGGCCACAAGAGCCCCTAGTACTTTCTTAGAAAGGATGACTTCTTTGTGCTTGTACATAACATATCCCAAAAGGGTGTGCACTGCCTGAACATACACATCCAAATAAGACTGATTGGGTTGGTGTGCAGCTTTGTGAACTATGAATAATGTTGGATAAAGTAATGTAATGTTGAATCTAACTTTAGCATAACATATATCCTGGCCTTGATATAAAAGTGCTTTATTCAGCCTGGGTCAAATCCTACAGTTTATGTAAGAACTGACTTGCAGGGAATTACTGCTAACATGGAATTCAGAGCTGGTGAGCTAAACCTGCTTTAACATTAACAATCAGAGTTACAATCTCATGAGTCTATATCCCTCGTCAATAACGTAAGGGCTTTTCACTCTCCTTGTGAGCTTTTGTCAGGATTGACCATTATTCTTCTTTTTAAAAATATTTTTTTAAATATATTTTATTTTCATAAAATAATATTTTACATTGTTTCACTTACATACATTGTGTTATATACAGTCTTTCATTTACATTGTGTTTCAT